CCCCTGATGTCTCCTTGGTTCTGGTTCGTTTGTTATTTTTGTTGGATTTTTTGATTCCTGCCTCAGTTCCTGTGAACTTCATTAAACCCACCTAAATTCACCTCTGCCTACCTGCCTCTGCATTTGGGTCCTCCAAACCAACACCAAATCCTGACAATTATGATGATCGTCAGACATCCAATACCAACTTACTATTGATATGATCAATGTTTTCATCCTTCTTCAGGAAAAAAACTTAATAGTAATTTTAATTCATTCCTATTTGGACCTGATGCTGTGATTCGGCGCAAACAACAATAATATCTAAATTACATAAACTAACTAAAATTTTATTCCCAGCAGCTTTTAAATCTGTATCATATTTTTAAAGAAATATGTTCTATATAAGATATTTCTATCGTAGTGAAGCTTATTTGTTAATAATAATGTTTTATTCGCTTTTTAAACCTCCTTATAAGCTCAAATCCCTGCTTTATTTTAAGTGTTATGCTATGAGAAATGACATTAGGCTATGAAACCAAAAGAGTGTAAATATAAATTAATAAATAGTATTGGTTACGTTTTTGTATGCGGCATCTGTTTGAAAAATATTTTATGCTTATTTTCATGGTATCTTTAAAAAGAGTGTGAACATAATTTTCAGCTGCTGATAAAATCAGGTCAGGTGCATGTTAATGTGAATGCGTTGTAATGACAGTAACTGACCTATAGGTGCTGGTTTGTAGTCATTTCCTATTGGCCGCCTCTGAAACAAAAAAACATTTAAATATTTTTCAGAAGTTAAAAAGACTGTTGAAATGATCAGAGGAAAATGCAAATACTCACCCCTGCAGGGAGAACTGGTTTCTCTGAAATGTAGCGAGGCAGACAATTAAAAAGGATTCTTTGCTCAAGAACATTTTTCTCTGTTTGTCAGGTTGCTACAACAAACATCAGTGTATTTTAATGAGGTTTGATGTGATAGACCATCGCAAAATATGCCGTAGGATGCAAGAAAAAGGATGAGGCTGCATAGTTTTATTCAAAGGTTTTACAAATAAGCAAAAGAGAAGTTTGGTGTATTTGTTTATTGATCTGGCTTTACTGACAGCCCTGAATTAAATGGATGAGGACGGTCATTGTTTAAACGTATGCCATAATAGTGTCAGATAGCCATCATGTCAGAATACCCTAAAGCTCATGGTCAAACATGCTGAGCATCCAGAACCACAGAACCACAGTCCAAGTCCAGATCTAAATCCAATGGATTATCTTTGAAAGGCCTAAATGTTCACAGATGCTCTTCATCCACTCAGACTGAGCTTGAGAAAAAAAACACTGTCAGTGGCTGCATGAATAAAACCTATTGTTTGTGAGTTTTTTAGATAAATTCCAATAAAATGCATTAAAGAAGGAGGCTGTACAATGACAGAATGTGAAAAGATTGCAGGGACAAACCCCATGAATATGCAGGGGTGGAGTTACGATTAGGCATAATTAGGCAGTTTTCTAGGGCCCCGGGCTCCTGAAGGCCCCATAAAACCCCTCAAATAGTTATTGCTAGTATAGTTATTACCTTTTTGTGAAAATTAATTATGTTTTTTATTAAAATCCTTTAATTGAATCATTACAATGCAAGCAGATTGCTTATTGTATCATATTTTTGTCTTTGTAACCCCTTCCAACCATCGTTTAAAAAATAAACAGTGTAAATACATGAGGAGAAGTGGAAAGAAAAGATGAAAATAAGCTACACCAGCGGCGCTGAAAGAGGGAAACAAAGCAGAGAAGCAGAAAGCTGATCTAAAACGATGAAGTCTACACATTTTGGGGATTATGGGCCGTGTTTGAAGACACCAAAGCTTATAAGTCATTTTAAAGTAAGCTTGGAATTTCATTTTTAAATCCTACATGAGATAAGAAAGAATTTTTTTTTAAAGATTTTACAGCACTAGTCACTCCTTTTTCTGGCAGTAGGCTAAGAGGAAAGCGGGTAAGACATGCGGGAAAGGACCACAGGCCAGTTTCGAACCTGGGTCACCTGTGACGAGGACTTAGGCCTCTGTACGTGGGTTGTGCGGGCTAACCACTGCACCACATGCATGCCGAATTTTGTTTTTTTATCTTGAATTTTCTATGAAAACTTCTGCCTTTTTTCTTGAGAGTTTTTATAGATCTCTGTATTGCAAGACTGGCTCAGCCCCTTAGGCCCGGCAGGCCCGGAACAGAGCCCAACTGACACCTGCTCATGTTTATCTATTTATAGAAATGGCCAAAACACGGTCACATGATATTTCATCCACACGCCTTTCAAATGGGGCTTTAAAATTCCTAAAAGATGTCTCAAAAATATTTTTTTCACAAATACTTTTTTCACAAAATGCATTTTACATTGTGCCAAAATCACATTTCCGCCTAGTACACTACACTAAAACCTTTGTGGAACAAACATGATTAAACTTATTGAGTCCAAATTTGCTTGAGTTATTGTCAAGATGAGGATCTATTAAGTCTGAGGGTTCATCCAGATTTACAAATGTAGATTCATTGTGTTTTGCTGTGTTTATTTTGGAAAAAAAAATTGGCAAGAATAAATATTTTTCATTTTTTCTTTGTTTAATCACCTTTAAATCAGACATGGTGACAATTGAAATAGTGGTTCACCATGAAAATATTCCTTAATGCCTTTCTGTCAAACAAATACAAACAATTGTATTTCCAATTTATAGTTTGGGAGCTGAACTTGATTTAAGTCACAAACGTTATTTCAGGCAGAATTTGCTCCTAAGACCCTCTGGGCCTAAGGGGTTAGGCAAAGACTCGCAAATAATGATTTTAGGGACAATAGGGAGAAAACATAGAGAGGAAAACAAGAAAAAAAAA